ACGTACGTAGTACGTATATATATATATATATATATATATATATATATATATATATATATATATATATATATATATATATATATATATATATATAGTCTTCAGCACCTGTATTTCGTTTAGCACTAAGTAGAAATTAATGCTTCCAACTGCATTACTAAACAAGAGTTCCGAGATCTCATACCTCCATGAAATATGGGCTTGAATGTAAATGTAAATTTCTTCTTTAATTACGCAAATGACCTCTGCATTAACATAATATATGCATCGTGATGTTAACTTTGAATTAACTTAAAGATGTCCCAAGTATGACATTCCCATCATTCACCATGGAGAAATCATAGATTTTTTGCATTAATTATGCAAATTAGGTCATCATTTGCATAATTAGTATCTGTTGATGTTCCATCTGCCATAGGTTACATACATTACATGTATGAAAGTTCTATAATGTAAAACACTGTAATTATAGAATTTTCTCATTAATTATGCAAATAAGGTCCTCATTTGCATAATTTGCAGTTAATTATGTACATCTCTCTGTCAGATACCTACACACCAAAAATGATGAAAATACATGTTCCTATCTGGACTTATTGGCTTTCAAAGATTTCGCCCGAAAGTCCCCTGCAGTTCCTGAACAAGCTGCTAGGAGGACCAAACCCACACCAATTGTTCCTGACAGGAAAGGCTATCTGTCACCAAAAATTCAAGACCATAGTATGTTCAGGACCAAAGATACAAAAACCGGAAGTTCTGCTGCAGTACCAAGGTCATCCACCAGGAGGCCCATATTTGACCTTGACCTTTGTCTTCCTAAGACTTATCAGCATACCAAATATCATCACAATCCATAAAGGCGTTATGAAGTTATGCTGACTATAAAGTTGCGGAAACACACACAGACACACAGACAGACGCCGCCAAAAACAATACCTCCATTTTTCATGGAGGTAACCAGGGACCTTTGTAAAGAAAGGACAATATTTCTTTTTCTTTTCTAAACGTTCAAGTTCTATTCGAATGGACCTGTACAGTTAAGTAGATTTTATTGTACTTACTTGTTCATTTAGGTGGACTGTCCTGTACCTTTGTACAGCTAGGTGGATCGGTCTATGTAGTTAAGTGAACTTTCCTGTACTTGGTTGTATAGTTAGGCGGACCTGTGCAGTTAGGCGGACTGGTCTGTAGTTACCTATACAGTTAGGTGGACTAGCCTCAGCTCACCTCTACAGTTAGGCGGATTGACTTGTACAGTAAGGTGGACTCTCCTGTAATGACCTATAAAGTTAGGCAGATTGGCTTGTGCAGTTAGATGGACTGTCCTGTACTTACCTGCACAGTTAGGTTGACTGGCCTGTACAGTTAGGCCGACTGGCCTGTACTTACCTGTAGAGTTAGGCGGAAGAGCCTGTACAGTTAGGCGGACTGGTCTGTACAGTTAGTTAGACTTTCCTGTACTTACCTGCACAGTTAGGCGGACTGTTGTCCCAGCTGGGTGGAACCCCTGCTAGACAGGTGAGGTTGGACACTCCTGTCATGGTGAAGCCCGGCTCACATTGGTACAAAACTACATCCCCGACAGCCGTTCCGTTTCCTGTCCTGTCAGCGTTTACTACGTCAGGTAGAGCCGGACAGGTATCGGCAACTATAGCTGGATCGAAACACAGCATAGTGTATGCTTATAATAATTGAAAAGATATAACATAATACCACACAATAAAACATAATATACATGTAATACGGCACAATAAAACGTGACATAACAAACATGACATGATATAACATGATACAACACAACGTAACATACCAGAGCATAACATTAACATAACACCACAACATACAACGACGTAACATAACATAACATAACATAACAAAACATAACACAACATACAACGACGTAACATAACATAGCATAACATAACAAAACATAACACAACATACAACGACGTAACAACTAACATAACATAGCATAACATAACAAAACATAACACAACATACAACGACGTAACATAACATAGCATAACATAACAAAACATAACACAACATACAACGACGTAACATAACATAGCATAACATAACAAAACATAACATAACATAACATAACATAACATTGACATAACATAACATAACATAACATAACACAACATAAAACAACATAACATAACATAACATAACATTGACATAACATAACATAACATTAACATAACACAACATACAACGACGTAACATAACATAGCATAACATAACATAGCATAGCATAGCATTTTAATAACATAACATTGCATTAGACATGAGGACAAAACTACAGACAACTGTCCTTTGAGTATTATAAATATACTATTCTGCACCGCAACCCAGTTTTTTACCCACCTGGTATCCCCTGGGATATAAAGCACCATACAGCGACATACAACAGTACTGCAGCCGGTGCCATGGCCTCACAGGCCTGCAGGAGGCCAGTCAGTTCCGGGGAGACAATCACCCACTGTCTGTACAGGCAAGAGTTTACAAACCTAAGGAAACACAAAAAAACGAATAGATTACGAAATTGTGAAAATAAGTTATATTCTTATAATTACAAACCTAAATCGAGCATTATGTAGACTGATACAAATATAAGTTAAGAAGAATTCTCACTACTCACAACTTCCGTATTTTAATTGTAACTCTTTTGACATTGATAAACATAGGTCTCGCAATTTAGCCATTGCGGCTGCCAGAAGTCCTGCCAGTGCTTGCTATGTTCCTGTTTAATAAACCAGCATACTCCTATTTCTCCTACCACTACGACTACATGTACTACATGTACTACCACTTTTACTACTACTATCACTACTACTACTACCACTATTTCTACTACTACTCTGTGTTCTGCTACCATAAGTGCCTATATATTCACCTTGCATCGAGCAATACCGTTAAAAAGCAATTGATTGAATGCCCAAAAATCATGCGTCATAGAACATATCCACCTGTGCCCCCCTCCCCACTTCCCTCCCATAACATCACCACTCCACACCTCATTGACTTTGATCTATGGCTGACACATTTAGAGACTCGAGCTCTGACACGTAGCAGGAAACGGTAAAAATTCCGCACATTTCACCTCCACAAAAGGCCTGCATACCGCAACACATCAAAACACCCTCCAGTACGTATACAGCCATTCACAAATGGTTCATATAAATAAATAAATTCAGTGAGAAATGAGTGCAGTGACTCAGTTATGTTGCCGCCGCGCCGCGTGCCTGCGAAGCTGGTGTGTTACGCCAAAATGCGGCTATACAGATACAGAAATGTATCTGTATCAGTATAGCCGGTATAACCGCCCTTCGGCGTAACACACCAGCTTCTGTATCAGTATAGCCGGTATAACCACCCTTCGGCGTAACACACCAGCTTCTGTATCAGTATAGCCGGTATAACCGCCCTTCGGTGTAACACACCAGTAGGTAGATATTTAATGTAGTCTCATAGCATTTTTCTAGGCCAAGGGACCGTGAGTTGTTAATTCACAGTGTTAAATGGCACAGCAATGCAAGACGGAGGCGAAACCCTCTCTTTGCTTTACCTCCCCAACCGAAGTGAAGTACCCATTTTTACACCTGAGTACAGTGAAGAAAAAAAAATATCATAAAATGTGCTTTTCCCGAAAGCATAAGATCGGTGGCATGGTAGGATTCGAACCCAGGACCTCTAGGTTCTGGGCCAAACACTCTACTGTTACGCCACATGACTCGACAATAAATCAGAATAGACCCCACAAGTGCTCGGGTAGAATATTTTAAAACGTTTGTTGTCACGGAAAAGAAGCGGGCAGAATGAATACCAAAACCGTGCCTTAAACGTAGGCAGAACTCACTACAAAGCCCCTCAGCTCCTTGTCGTTCGTTCGTTATCTTTGTGTAAATCATTACTTTCAGGGCTTTTTTATTTTTTATCCAATTTTCCATGAAACGGGGGTTATACGTGCTTGCATCAAATGCTAGTCTTTTTTTTTTGGAGCGAGATTTTTACGGCTGGGTGCCCTTCCTAACGCCAAACCAACCCCTAGTAGGACCCAGGATTCCTCTAGCTGAGGGGGAAAATACTTGTAAGGTGCCTCTACCAAACAAAAAACGTCAGGGTACATGTCTGGGTCCAACCCTGGCGATTGAACCTGGGTCTCCTTGCTTGACAGTCGGATGCTCTATCCACTACACCACACAGACGACACTCTTGTTTATTACCCTTGTAAAAAAAATATGGTACATAGATTCCATCACGTCTCGTAGATACCATACACTTCTTCCAAATAACGTACGTGTCTTTGGTATGAAGACAACATCTTTTAAAACAAACACACCTGTCTGTGGTGACTACTAAACCTGTCATCTGAGCCGAGCCTGAACTTTACCTTGTCTCCGCACCTCATTTGTTTCTCCATTATCCCTGTATTTACTTTCTCCACACACATAGTCGTTCGTCAAAGATGACTGGAGGTTAGGCCACAGCAAGTACTTAGTAATTTCTATGGATGACATCAGCGCGCGCATTAATTTTCGCCTGATTTCGGTAAAAAAACAAGCAATTTTGTGTCCCTCTGACAGTAGTCAACATGTCGAAAATGGGCAAAGATGTCTGTTGCCATGCCGAAACGTGGATGACAGATATCTGTGAAGAGACGAGACAAAAAAAGGCTCTGATTTAATGTTTTTTTTTTACTATGGTGCAGTGATATGTGATGGTAGCTATGTATATGTGATGTTCTCACTGAATCAAAACCATTTGTTTAAATAATTGAGTCAAAGTTTGAAAATCTAGGAAGCTTGTTTTTTTTGCGGCCTGCTTTGTTTTTTTTTGCCCGCTCGCATTAGATTTGGAGTCTGTGGAGGATGTAGAAGGTCTCCCGTGCTCTTGCCCGAGCGTAGGGTGGTGCCCATTCCCATTTCGTAGCCATTGGGCGACACACAATTGTGCAACGCACTACAGCAGGGGGCTAGTCCGCTGGTAGTGCTGTGTGTTTGACCTTTCCACACTCTTTCTCATATGTACTGAGTGCTAAGCAGAGAAAGAAGTGTGTACCATTTTTAAAGTCTTTGGTATGACCCGGCTGTAAAAATTTGAACTCACGACCTCCCAATTACAAAGCGAGCACTCTACCAATTGAGCTATTGCACCGGTGGAGGATGTTATCCATAAAATTTACTTGCTGTGGCCTTAACTGCTGGGAAAGTCGCAGTAGTTTGCACTTGAACAGGCACGCCAATGATCCTTATATCCAGGGAGCGGTTGGAACTGTGCGGGCGGAAAGGTTAAATTGTTGCTGCGCTCCTGAGCACGAGATAAAAGCACCTTTTAAACATCTCGCGCTGACAGTTCACAGAAGTTAAATGTTATCTATTTAAGGCTTAAGTTTTGAGTGCAGTAGCTCAATCGGGTAGAGTGCTCGCTGTGTAACCGGGAGGTCCCGGGTTCGAGTCCTGACAATGCCATCGATGTTATGCCCTAGGGAAAGGCACTTAACACGACTTTCATCACTTAACTTAAGTGAAATGAGTATTGTCCTGTCCTGTGACGGCAAAGAAATAAGTTGATATAACTTGAGTGTGCTGCCACCATGTCTAGTCATGAAATGTTAGAATATGAAAAAAAAAATAACCGGGAGGTTTCGAGTTCAAATCCCGTTCATCATCATCATGCCATTTTGTCACTGCCATTCATTCGACACTAGATGTAAAAATTATACGTATTTATTTATAAAGCTTTTTTTCATAATTGGTGGAAGAAATGACATAACAGGTGACTACAACCTATTCAAGATGTCAAACCTGAGACCAGACTGTAAGGTTTGAACCACTCACACCGTAATGAACCCCTACTCTTTTCAATAAGTGTGGTGGGATCTTTAACGTGCTAGAGGTGTGGCTCTTCTAAAACACAGGACCTCCGGTTTGACGTCTTATCTGAGAGGACCCCCCTTACCGAAGCCAGGTACTCCTTAACACTAAGTCAAGAGAGGAATTAGGTATTAAGTCCCTTTCCAAAGGACACAACAGTGGGCCCTGGCAGACCCCTCAATCTTTGGATTCTGAGTCAACAACCCTAACCACAAAACCACCTTTAGGCAACCAGTGCAATTTTAGGGAGGCAAAAAGTTATATTGTGTGCCCATTCTTCTTGTAATGTGAGTCAATCTTATCCTATCGAGCGTACTGAGGCCACACCGACTTAATTTATAGATGACATCCTCTGAAAACCCACAAACTAATGCGCGCGGACGAATAAAAAAAATCCGGCCAAAAATTAAAAAAAAAGGCTCCTAATCCACAAGAATACATAGCTGGTTTTGTGAATTTGCGGCACTACTTAGCAACGTATACGACACATGCTGGCTTTTTGCGGAATTTATAAATCGGCACTGTACGTATGTACTGAGTTCCTGAGTCGTGGAACTTCGGTAGCCTGGGTGCCCGGCTCCGTATTGTCGCTAACGTATACGACAAGCCGGCACATGCTGGCTTTTTGCGGAATTTATAAATCGGCACTGTACGTATGTACTGAGTTCTTGGGTCGTGGGGCTTCGGTAGCCTAGGTGCCCGGCTCCGTATTGTTTTTAACTACCATGGAGTACCCAGGCTTAGAGCCAGGCGAGAGGCTCGGAGGACTCGGTCTTTTTTTTGGATCAGTCGAAAATAAACGCACGCGTGGATGTCATCCATAAAATTTAGTCGGTGTGGCCTGATATAAGAAAAAAAAATATATCTGTGAGGCAAAAATGCGATGTCGCTGACGGAAAACGATTGGTTGCGCTATCTCATAATATATGGCCGGTTTCAAACACTTAAAAATATGAATCATAATGACAAAAATGTGCTAAGAAATGGCAATTTATGTCAATATCAGACAGATTTCGTCAACCAGAATGTTTTATTTTTTGTTTCGCCGTCCTAAAATTACACTAGACGCCTTTAAAGTGTTGATGGTTGTACGTCTAAGGGCTCTTTGCTTCGCAAACATTATCTGCTGTCAACACCTGAAACCCCAAACAGCGCGAACCGAACGCTCCAGTTTACACTAGGAATGTTTCCCTTTCACTCACGGGCTTGTCAGGCCACAGCAAGTCATTTTCATGGATGACATCAGCGCGCGCTTGATTTTGGTAAAAAAACAAGAAATTTTGTTACCCTCTGACAGTGGTCAACATGCCAAAAATGGGCAAAGATGTCTGTTGCAATACCTTACAGTTGATATACTGTTTATTGTTGATAATGGCGACATATTGTTATGTATTGCCAGGCTAACACGGAATCTGGGTTAACTTATTTAGGCCACAGCAAGTAAGTTTTATAGATGACATCAGCGCGCTCATTAATTTTCGCCTGATTTTGAAAAAAAAGAGAAGTTTTGTTGCCTTCTGACAGTGGTCAACATGCCGAAAATGGGCAAAGATGTCTGTTGCCATGCCGGAAGGTGGACGGCAGATAAATATGAAGAGAGGAGACAAGAAAAGGCTCGGATTTAATGTTTTGTT